GTAAAATCATGTCATATCTAGTTTTGTAGATCTTTTTATGTAGTTTTTAAATATGTCATTTTAATTTTTTTAAATTCCGTATGATTTTTCATATAAAATAATTTGAAAACAATCTTATTCAAGCATCTTAACGCGCAACGAGAATATTATTGTTGGACAAAGGTAGAGTATGAAAGGAAAATTTATTTAAATAACACTAAAACATAATGACTTTCTCTAAATAGCATTACATGTATTTTTTCTCAATATAGTACTTTTAGTCATCATCCATTAGTCATTATTCAAGTAAATGTCCGTCATCACTGGACATTATGAATATTATTAAGTGATGTTTAGAAAATAAAACAATTTAAGTGCTATTTAAGAAAACGACTTAAGTTTTAGTGATATTTAGCGTAAATATTTCTTTTTTCATATATATACTTCTAATCCTCCTATTTACAATAGCAGCAGGGAAAAAAAATCTCAGCTCAAATGCTGCATCAACCGTTGGTACAAGTTTTTTGCACGATCTCAAGCACAATATCTGCACGCTATTATCTCGCAGTCAATTTCTTTTTTCACCTATTTCTATCTAATCGGAGAAATACCCTCTGCAACACACATTCAAATTTTTCTTCCGATTCTCATCTCGCAATCAATTTCGTTTTTGCCGGATCCTGGTGCTTCCTATTCTCATCCCGCTACCCTCTCTCCCAGAGCAGCCCGCTACCGCAAGAAGAAAGACAACTCAAAGAGTATGGATGGCAGCACCAGGTTAGGGTTTGACTCTAATGCATTTGACCATAAAATCCGACAACAGCTATGGACTAGATGCATCACACGGCAGGGATTCAGGGACAAAGGTAACACCCTTTTCTTTCGTTTATTAAAATTTCGTATATGTATGGCAAGATCTTTCTTTCTCTTCCTCTCCTATAATTCCTGTCTTTGGATTCTTGCCATAAGTCAACAACATCATACTTCAATAACTCCAACAACACCACTTAGGCCCCGTTTGGTACATGGAATTCAAACTATGGAATTGGAATTGAGGACTTCAATTCCAATTCTGGTGTTTGGTAGCACAAAATTATGCTGATTTGGAATTGATAGTGCAAAAAATGAATTAGAATTGGCAAAATTCAATTCTATGGAATTGAATCTCAATTCCAATTCAATTCCAATTCTGTCAATTCCGTATACCAAACGAACCCTTAAAGTGTTATTTTTCTTCTCCGGAATCCATTTTTTAAAATTTGGACTTCTTAAACAACCAATGAATTAGAAGGCATTTTTCAGATTTAATTTTATAGAGTTGTGATGTTTGAATATGCTCTGTATACATGATTTTTCAAGTTGAATTAAGTTTAGATTTTAGGTGCAAATATGTCCACTTTTCATTGTATATACATGTAATTTTTGAATATACTGTGATCCTTAACTTTCACTCTCACTGTAGGACCATAAAGTGTTCATTTCCTTGAAAGTGAAGCAAGTAGATGCATCATTCAAACCTTGGTTAATGCACTTCAAGGCCAAGTATAAAGCTTGCCTAATAAGAAGTTGCCATCCCTTTGTGGTGGCACTTTAATAAATTAGTAAAAGATTTTAGTTATGATTCTAAAGTGTAATGTCGGTATGTTCTTCAACAGTTGGTTAACTAAGCAATTAATTAGATTAAAGGTCATTACAATAGTGCCTAGAAAATCGTTCCTACCTAAACAATCAAGCGGTTGCGACACCCTTCATGCATATTATTTACTCCCCAACCTCACACTATTTCACCCATTATTTCACGCAGATTGCAGACTTTACAGATAGATGCCTAAAGCACATAGGAGACATATAGGAGGATTGGCGATGGACGGATTCTTGGAGGGAGTATTGTGGAGGCTCTTGATGGGATCCATATTGATTATGCTTCTTAACGGGATCTATACATCAAACAATGAGACCAATAACTTAGGTTTCGAGAGTTATTAAAGTTTTATTTATATTAAATTTACATACACAATATATATGCCTTATTTACTGCTACTTTTCAAATTTGAGGGCAATGAATCTACCATGTAGATTTTTTTATTTAAGGTTGATCTTTGTCCCATCACAGTATGTATTGCTACTTGGCTTATAAGTTATATTGAACTAAATGTCTTTTACTTCTCTCAAGAAGAAAGGTGAAGGTGAAGCCTCTAAGTGCCAAGAAAAAGAAGTAAGAGGGATGGAATACATCAATGCCTGCTCAAATCCCTCCAATATGTCTTTTTAATAAGGTATAAAGGATGATTTTGTTTTCTATAAAATCATTGGTAAATTATGTAGACATGTTTTGTATCCTTTCTGATATTTCTTCAACGGGTATACTTTCCTTTCTTGAATCCATTTTAGATTCAATTTATTTTTATTAAATCTAGGTTCTCAAATATTATTGATTTTGAATTCATTTTTTTCAGATTCATTAGAAGGTTGTGGCTCATTACTGCCTTTGATTTAGTCCTAATCTTATCCTAAGGTAAAATATTTTCAATACACTCTTTCTCTGTTGAATCTTTGAACTATATACTAGAAAAGTTTAGGTTCAGTTTTGTGTTGAATTGTTTAATTTTTCCATAAATAATGTAGGAGGGTGTAGCTACCCTTTATTCTGATGCTATCTATTTCCCATTTGTCAAAAAAGAGAAGAGAAAGAGGTTTTGGGACGGAAGGAGTAGAACACTATAGCCTTTAGTATTCATTGCTTTGTTCTTGATTCTTTTTACTCTATTTTTACTTAGACCAAACTTGAATGTGATTGTCATTTGTGAACTACGATGCTAAGAGTTAAGATCGATATAGTGAACTGTTTTAGCTGGCTATTAGGTTGATGAAGGACATTGCTCCTTTGGAAAGAGAGTTGTCTATTGAGTCCCTCTCACGCTTACCACCAGTTGTCCAATTAAAATTGCCTCCTTCGTATCTGCAACAATATTAAAATTCCGTAAATGGTGTACTTGAGATTCATTCCATAGTATTTGAAATTGAGGGAAATATTGTGAATCACACCAAATTATTTTTTATTTTTCAGGAATAAATTATTCACTTTACATATCCAATAAAAAGTTTCAGGGCTCAAGAAGAAGTGAATCTACTTCAAACTTTAGTACTCCCCTGTGATCAAAATGATGTTGAATCTTCACTTGATTTGGGTATGGGGTAAGTTACAGTGATATGATTTCTGTCTCTCTGATTTAGAATGGGGTGAAGACGGTAATTGGAGGATGAAGGATGTCCTTCACCAGGGTGACTTATGGGTAGAATTTGCAATCCAAAGAGAAAAGGAAGAAAAATGAATAGAGGTTGGTCCTTAGAAATCTTGACTTCTCCATTTTCCCAACCATAATTTCAATAGCATGCTTTTCAAATTCTACCCCCACCCCTTACTAATCTAAATACACTTGAAAAAAATTGATGCAAGAGTCCTTGGCATTCTCAATGGGGTGTGGCATTTGGAATTTAAGCTTGAGTCTGTATCTATGGTTTTAGGCAAATTGTAGTTGTCTCCTTGACCTGATGCAAGCGGGAAAAAAAGTCTTACTCTGTTTAAGTTTTTTAATTTTATTTACTATGTCGTAGATCATTCATTATGTAATTTCATTTTGTAAACATGTTTGAACTATGTTGGAATTTTTTACATACATCTCTTGCAAGTTTTGAAGAATGCTTCCTGATTGTTTTGGAAGATGCAAGGTGACTTTGGATACTTTAGTAGATGAGAAAGACACAACTTTAAATTGGAGATTTTTTGGTGGCTTCTGCGCTTGGACTGTAGAAGCTGCACACAGGCTTCTGCTACTGCACCATTTTTTAAATTAGGAGTTGTAGTTTACTTCTTGGGATCTCTCTCTGTTTTATGTTTTTAGCAGTATCACTCTTATTTCCTTTTCTCAGCAACTTTGGTTCTCTTATTTTCCTTATCATGCTTTAGAGAGATGTGTGCTCTTTTTTAAATGGAGAAATTGGTTGGTTATACAAAGTAATAGAGAAAAGAGTTGCAACATGTAGAAGCAAGCACAAAATATTTTGTCTTTCATAGATTTGAAATCTTTATTAAGGACGCCACTATTTAAAGTGGCATTTTTCCTCTCTTGATTTTTTTTTTAAATCTAAACTTCTAAAACAATAAATTAACTAGAATTCAATTTTTTAATTTAATTTTACTGTTTTGTGATGTTTGAATATGCTATCCACACATGGTATTTTTTAAATGGAACAAAATTTTACATTAATCCATTAGATTGTGCATAACAAACTCCAGATTGGTGGAAACACACCACAATAAGCAGGACGACAATATTTTTTAAACGAGAAATAAATTGAAAATTAACAATATTGAAATCCATACCCAAGTGACAATCCTCAACAAGTGAACCAAAATAGGATAGAGAAATGAAAATATGATTTGATAATTCAAACTGAAGTGTAAATTTTGAATGCAAATTAATATGTACTCCGTATGTCGTTATATCGTTCATTGTATAGGTAGTAACTTATGAATATGCTTTGAAATTTAGGTTTGAATATTTGCGCCAAATTGTAGTAATTTATCTCTTGTGGGGTATTTATGTTTTTTTGCAACAATTTATTTTTTGTTGCGCATGATTTCTTTATATTTTGTTTTATGATCATCATTCCTTTTGAATGCATTCATGGGATGTTGAGGAGGTTCATCAGCATCTACATTTTGTGTTTGTTATGATATTCTTTATGTCTCAAAAAGTTTTACACTTTATGCAAAATGAAATAAATTTTCAAATTTTTTGAATTCTTTTATTTAGAGATTACTATACAAATTAAAAATAAAATTTACGTATTTTAAAACTATGCCAAAATTTTCACAAAACTAAAAGTGATAAAAATATTTTGTTTTAACAAATAATTAATCAAAATACCCAAATAAATAATAGTTTTCGTGACTTTTAAATAATAAAAAGTGTAATTCCATTTTTGATGGAGGTGGGTGAAAGCTTATATTTTTAAAACCCATATTAGAATCTTGATTTAGGATATTTATTTTATGAAGTGAGCTTGAGACGGCTACCCACGGCGGTTAAAATCTAGTTGTATAAATAAAGCTCCGCCAAATCTTTTGGACTCCTATTCAAACACACCCAAAAAAACAAACATTTGATTTCCACGAAGAGCTTACAAACTTCTTCCTGTCTCGATCATCTGGAAATCAAGATTGAAAACAAAGTTAAATTAAGCAACAAAGGGTTACCAATTTACCATTATCCTAAGAATTTTGAATGATTTTTTTGGGTTCACTAACCTTCGGTAAAGAGAGACAATGTCTTCCCCGAAACAGGGGGACTCCAGAAACATGTCCCCACACGCCTCCACATCGACGGCCGTCATGCCGCCGGAGTCACGATGGCCGTCGTGCTCGCTCCACTCGAACCACAATCTCGACACCGACTCTTTCTCGAAGCAGATGCGGTGGTCGTCCTCCTCCGGCGACCCCGCCGCCACGAGCCGGTAAACGTAAACCCTCCTCGTCTGGCCGGGCCGGAACGCCCGGCCCACCGCCTGTCGGGTGACCGACGGGTTGAGGTGCACGTCCAGCACCACGACCCGCGATGCCCCGACGAGCGAAATCCCCTCCCCGCACGCCCGGATCGACCCGAAGAAAACCCGGGCGTGCGGGGACGAGTTGAACGCATCCACGGACGAGTCCCGGGCCGCGGACTCGGAGTCGCCCGTGATCACGAACATCTCCTTCCCAAGACTATACCCTTTGATCTTCCCAGTCAACCTCTCCAAGAACTTCAATGGCAGGAGGTACTGACTGAAAACCAGAAGCTTTTCCCCACAAGACTCACACAGATTCAACAGATTCAAGTAGAACTTGGTCTTGGCCCCCTCTTTCACATCCAAATCTCCTAAAACCCCAAAGATTTTCTCTGTTGATCTCAGCTTGGGGTGGATGTATATGGCACTGCACTCAGAAATCACTCTGAACCTCTGGTTATGGAGTTTCTTGAGCTTTTCAACTTCATTCCTCTGTTTTTCACTGAGTCTAAGGAGGACGGTGAAGTCCATAAGCCCTGGAAGCTCATCAAGAAAGTCTCCTTTGTAATAATGAAGAACATTGCTTGTCATCTCTCTCAGATCTTTAATCACAGCCACCTTCCTCGGAAAGTTGTCGTCTTTCGATAGCGTTTTCTCGACGATGTCGAAAAACTCTCTGTCGGAGAAACTGCTAGTGTGTGTCCCGGAGACTTTGGCGCGGGAGAGTATCCTGCGCTTGAGGTCTCTGGAGGCCGGGAGGTTCATGAACTTGGGGCGGACGAGGTTGACGATGTTGAAGACCTCGCGGACGCTGTTCTGGTACAACGTCCCGGAGAGGACGACCTTGCGGGGCGTCCGGACCATCCCGAGGGAGGTGAGGGTGTCGGTGTCCTCGTTCCGAGGGGTGTGTCCCTCGTCGAGGACGAGGATCGAGGGGCACGCGAGGAGGATGCGGCGGCACTCGGCCGTTTGGGCGGTTTCGTCATCGTCGGAGCAGACAATGGAGGAGAACTGCTTGTAGCCGAGGAAGAGGACGCTCCGCTCCCTCGACCAGCTCTGGAGGACGTCGAGCTGCTGACACCTGTTATCAGCTCTGGCGGAGTAGAAGTCGAGGAGAGGGAACGTGCGGTCCCCGTCCTCCTCCTCGACCTGCCACCTAGAGAACTCTCTCTTCCACGTGGACAAGATGCCCTTGGGTAGGACCACGAGGGGCCTCGCCTCGGGGCACTTGGACATGTAGCTCCGCAAGAAGGTGATGATCGTGAACGTCTTTCCCGAACCGGGGGCGTGCGCCAAAATGCACCCCCCGGGGTGGTCCCCCACCAGATTCTTGACGAGGAACTTGAACCCTTCGATCTGGTGGGGCTTCATCAGCTTCTCGTGCCTCAGGTGCGGGGACAGTGACTCCTCCTTCCTGCCGTCTTCCGACGGGCGGGCCCCACCACTGCTCGGACACTGTGGGGCCCGCGCTCTGGCCTCTCTATACACACTTCTGCTGCTCTTCTTGGCCTGAACATTTGCAAAGATCACAAATATACTATTAAGGCCATGTTTGGGTGGACAATGAGTTTGAAGAAAGTGTAAAGAGTGACAGACCTTTCGATACTGGAAGTCAATAATGGTCTCAATGCTCTGCAGAATGAACCCACAAACGCGGCACACAGTGCCAATGTCTTCCTTCAATATGAAAATGTGGTCACAATCTCCATTGCCATTTATTATTCCATTCTCTTCTGAGCAATATTGATCAGCTGATGTGTCCTGTGACGTGTTTGTTTGACACATTGTTTTAAGCATATTATGATATCATGCATCTACATTTAATTTTAGGTTCCAAATTTGGTCCACGTTTTGGTCAAAATTTTGACCAAAATATAGTCAAAATTTTGACCAAAATGTCAACCAAACTTGGGATGCAATTGGGGGTGGGCTAGAAACATTAATAGTGTGAGATTTGGTGACAAGGGTACCTTGGAGTATGCCATAACAAATGCCATTTCCTTCCATACATCACCCACATCATCATCATCATAAGGTCCATTAATGGATTGCTCATTTGCACCATCATCATCAGAATGAGAATCAGAATCAGAACCAAGAATGACAGTTTGAGGTTTCTGGTTTGCAGCAGCATAAAGACCATAATTAGATTTCTCATTTGCATCACCACCACCACCATCAGAATGAGAATCAGAATCAGAATCAAGAATAACAACATGAGGCTTCTGGTTGGCTTCTGAAGCAGCAGAAAGACAGTGTTTTTCAAGAAACAGTCTCCTTCTTGCAATGAGTTCCTCAATGTCCTTAGCAACACTTCCAAATTTCTCAAGATTTAATAATCCCTCCTGCAGATTGCACAGATCGAACGGATCAGAGTAATCCTGAGCTGCCACGGGGCAGAATCTGGGCCGTTTCTTGTTCTGTCCATTTTCTTTACAGAAACCCATTCTGCTCCTCATCATCTTCATCAGATTTCATCTACCTGCTTGGCAAAAACACTGTGAAAGGAGGAAAAAAGTGGGGAATAACAGTGGAATGAAACCCAGAATTTCCCCAAAATTGGTTTTTTTATATAAATAATACTAATAGCATTTCAGAGAAAGCATATCAGTCAAATAAAAGCCAAAGAATCTCTACAGTAAAAATAAAAAAAATGCATGCAGATTTAAGAAGAAACTGACCTTATAAGAGAAACCCATACCTTTTCAATCTCGATGTTTCACGAAAAAAGACTCAAAATCTTTAAGAGAGGTTTGAAAATAGATTTCATTTATTTATATTAAAGACAAAGCAAGACTCCATGAAAGTGGAGGTTTCACCACTGCTAGGCCATCCTTCAATGGCAGCTTCCATTAGCAATAAAAAAACAGCAGAAAAAAACAAAAAGATTGAATCTTGGACTATTTATTACTAAAAAAACCCCCAAAAAGTTGAATCTGAAGATTCATCATAAGCAAAAGAAACAGAGAGAGGAAATGAGCTACTGGGTATTTTTCTTTGGGGGGGGGGGACTCACCTCACATTGAGGTAATCTTCAATTGAAATGGGGTGGAAGAGAAAGGAGTAAAATGTGGGTGGATTTCTTTCTTGAAGGAGGGCAAAATGTGTTTCCTCGGAGAATTTGTGTGTGTGCCCGTTGGGTTCTCGTTAGGGCAGTACACTCCCCAGTCTCCAGTAATGGAATGGTGGGCAGGGGGGATCACTACTCCAACACTACTAATATCACAATTTTAGTAAGAATTAATCTATTTGTACCCAAAAAAAATATACCGCACTTTGTAGCTTTAAAAGATATATCAATATTTTGTGCTAGTGTAATGCTATCGTGATGGTTTACATTGATACAAAATTTTGGTGCAAATTTTTTTGTTGGAACTAACATTTTGTGTCAGTGTAAACTTTTAAATTGTTGGTGCATCTCTTTGGAGTACAATTTGGGATATATTTCTTGGTGTACTCCTAGCGGGATTGTTTAGTAAATTAAGCCGTCCTTTTCACCTAAGAAAAATTGAAAATGAAATGGTAGGGATTGAGATTAATTTACAAAAATATAAAGAGAAAGTGTTGGCGACAGAAGAAGGAAGCCGGATCAAAGAAGGAAACATGAATCCCTTTGGGATTCTGTTTAGTATCTTTCCTAGTTTGCTTAGTTCTTGTTATAGTAGGAATAGAAATATAGTAGGAATAAAAGTTTACTTAAATGCTTTACTCTCTTCCTATATAAAGGGGGGGTTAGACCTTTGTAAGCAAAAAACCAATTCAATATACAGAATATTTTCTCTTTTATCAATTTCTACAGAAAGTATATCTTAAACTAATCTCACATTTCAATGAGTTTTCAATAATTATCTCTTTTTTTTTGTGTTACGTGAAATAATTCTTGAGTATTTTTCAAGTGGTTACGCGTTTATGTCACCTTAATAACCTTTTGACCGAAAGCTAGTTAACACTTAACAAAATGAAGAGTAGGATAATCTTTTTTTTTGTTATTTGCCTAAAATAATACTCCCTCCGTCCGAAATTGTTCTTCCGACTTCTTTTTTGGTGCGTCCGGAAATAATCTTTCCATTTCCTTTTTTAGTATACATTTTAAGGATAAGTTTTAATGTGAGATTATTTTGTGGAGTTACGTAAAATAATCTCATCACATTATATTGAATTGCATATAGAAGTCCTACATTTTAACTATTTTTTCTTTAAAATTTTGTTTAAATTCATTTTTTTATTGAGCTCTCACAAATCCAATTTTTGGAAGCTCGATCAAGTATACATAAATTTGAAAATTAATACGAGACATTTTCCATAACCTTATTTGTACAAAAAAACAATGTACACAACGTTCAATGTCCTTATTTGTACATGCAAAAAAGACGACGGTCAATGTTCTTGTGGCTTGTAACTACAAAAAAAGTAATGTCAATAACGTTCAATGTACTTGTTTATTTCTACAAATAGAACATCCACATGCCACGACTTTATTAATGTCTCTATTTCTACAAAAAAAACTAATGTCTACAATGTTTAATTTCCTTGTTTCTACAAAAGAAGTGCCATATGGGAGGGACATAGTGCTATTGAGGTAAATCTCTTATGTTTAGGTGCTATTTTGAGTAAATTTCACATGGTGATATGGTCACATGCTGGGGCTGGTAGACGAGGTAGTGTGGTTCATGGGCTGGTCATGTGGTATAATCAGTGAATGTAAGGGCAGGGATATATTTGGGAAGTTAATGAAATTCGTTAGACTCTTAAATAAACGTGAGAAGCCAACACAAGAAGAAAATCTCAAAAAACGGATGGAGTCAAATAATTGCTCCAACAGTCAAACCTTAGTTACTATATGCTTTTGGGCCTGATTGTGAATAGCGTTAGAGATTAGCGTTAGCGTTTTGGATAAAATTTTAACGGTGCAGATTACTTTGAAAACGCTAACGCTAAACGCTGCCCGTAGATAATCTTTTCAGAACGCTAACGCTAATCTCTAATGTTATTCCCAAACATGTTTTTTAACATCTCGAGTCCATAATTTTTTTAAAAAAAATATTAAATCTTTAGGTTTATCTAAGTTTTTCCCTTGAACACATTGCCCATTTGCAAGCCTCCATTTGACGGAGCCGTTTCATTTCTTTCTTCTCCAATAAGTCTTGTCCAGGTCAAGCTGGCATAGAAGACGAGGCCATGAAAGACGCAAAAAACCGCCGTTAAGTATAGAAACGCCCGGTGAGAGATCTCACACCCGCCGTCCATCTTCTTCTTGTATATCAAGCCGAAATATAGTAAAAATCCGTTTACAACTAACGGGGTCCTGCTCATTCCAAAGTTCACTAAATTAGTACTTATTTTATGAGTAAATCCACTTTAATTAGCAATCAGGATCAAAGTGTAACCAATTTATTTCCTTAAAATTTATAAAACAAAATAGCATTGTTATCACTTCTTGTTTGTGCATAATTTTTTATGCATTTTTGCGTATATAAATTTTATTCTTAAATTTTACGTCAATTTTCAAATAAAATGAATTGAAATTAAATTTAATCAACAACCATAATCATCAACGCCTCAATTAAATTGGACGAATAGAGTATATTTTGAGAGATAGGGTGTTGCTAAATTCACCACATTATGACTGTTGGCTAGATCTACTCCGTTTATAGTGAAATAGACAACTTTGTCCTTAAAACACATAGAAAGATATTACTATCTTCCTCCCGCAAAAAAGTTTCCCTTTCTTTTTTCCTTCGTCCCAAAAAACACTTCCTTTTTTTTAAAAAAAAAAGTCACTTTTACTCATATTAATTCTTAACCTATCTATCACATCACACGTTTTCCAATTCTCTATTAATCTATCCATCTCATCTTACTTTATCCATCACAATAAAGGATATTTTTGGAAAATCAACACCAAAATACACTCCTCTTAAATCCTCAAAAGATCAAAACGAGAACTTTTTTGCGGGACGGAGGGAGTAGATGTTAACTAATTTTCAAAGATAAATTTTTTTCACTTAACATGAATATATAGTTAGATTTAACAATACCCTAAGGGATATTATTAGTCAAATTTTCGATTCAAAAAAGAAAGAAGATAATTAAAAAAAGAATGTTTAGAATTTGGACGTACCATGTACCCAAAATAACAAGATTTCTTATATGCTCCTTATTTCGGATACGGAAACAATAAGTGAGCCCAGAAAGTATCAGAGAAATTATAAGACAGGTGCTTACTACGCAAGCACACCTGAGAATAATGGTAGGCCCAGACAGTTTCCCATCACAATCGGCCCAATTCACCTGAGATCCATAAATACATATGAACACATGATGATGATGATGATGGCTAATGATAATAGTAAATCAAATTACTTATCAGATTATATTGGCTTGTTTAAAACAATAATATTGACTAAGGTCATGTTCTCTCTGATTGGTTCAGATCTGATTGGAATAAGTTCTGATCTGATCTAATCTGATCTGAATGTAGTTATATTTAAAGCTATTTCTGATCTAATCAGATTCTGATAAGAATAAGTAATAAGTAAAAGAAATAAATTGGGAAGAACATAGCCTAAGTGTGTGTTTCTTGTGATTATAAGCTGATCAAAACTGCTTATAAGCTATTTTTAATTTACAAGTCAGTTGAGGACATGTTTTGATGTGTTTATAAGATGCATATAAGTCAACATAATAAGTAGGTCATACCTAATTATTCTAAATTAGTTTTTTCATTTTTTTACTTGATTATTTACAATACTATATCTCACCTTATATGGATATTCCTAAATAACATATCTCTCATTTAAAATCATTTTACCTCCACGAAAGAACAATGAACTTATAAGCAACTTATAAGTTAAAAACAGTTTATCGGCAATAACTTAATAAGCACCAACAAGAAAAGCACCCCATAAGATATCATTTTCGGAAACTAAATCAATAAAAATCACAAGTCCTTTTTGGCGATACGGTATTCGGAAACTAAATCAATAAAAATCACCAGTCATTTTTCTTCGTATTCGGGATTTATGAAAAACTTACAGTTTTGGGACTACCCATTGCAACAACAAATGCAAAAATTGTTGCCAAAACATCTGTTACAATAACGGCATTCAATAACACTTGCCACCACATTTTAATGTGCTTTCAAAAACTTCCTATTTGGCTAAAATGGGGGATTAAATGATGCACCAAAGGCCATATCAAGCACATATATAGATAACTTTTGTCCCAAAATTAAAGGCACATTCATATTTTTTTACATAACCTAGTCAATAAAAGTAATACACAACCTAATTTTAGTAAGACCCGAGTTTGATTCCTGATAATTGAGCTAGGAGCAAATTATGTTAAGTATAGAACCTCTCAAGTACTCCCTCTGTCCTGAAATAGATTACAATATTCTCTCACAAAAGATTACAAAGTCAATAACTTTATAGTGATTTGACTCTTTTACCCTCCCTTTTCTTTTCTGCCAGCCACTATTCACACTATTTGGGGAATTGGGGGGATTTGGGGAAAAAAATTGATTTGACTTTTTCTTAATTTCAACTAAAAAGGAATATTGTAATCTAAAGTGGGACGGAGGGAGTAATAGATATATGCTCGACTCTTTGCCCTCGGGGATGATGTTCATCCTTTTTTTCAATTTTTTTTAAATTTTTAATCGTTTGCACACGCACTCTCTCACATCCCAACGGCACTGCAACGATGTCATATCATAGGTAAATTTAAAAATGAACACCACTTTTAATTTATGTATGTTATGTAAATTCATAATGTGAACTTGGTTTCGGAACCGTCCCACATTTTTAAATTTTGTTCACACAGATACTATGACTGTCTCAGTTTAAATGAGCTTCTGATGTTTCAATAAATAAATTCACACTAATTATTACAAAGTATTATTCAATTAGCCTTTAAGAATGTTGAAGCATGATTATATATATTTTTTTCATTGGTCAAGAAAAGTAAGAAATTGGAATGGAGTGTTTTTGTGGTAGTTACTCTCCTCAATGGAGATAAATGTGAATCAACGAAGGGTAAAAATCAACTTTTTTGACCCTTGCCGTAAAAGAAGGATTAAACTACTCCCTATCTATGTGTAAGACCATCCCGGGACGGGTACGGAGTCCACATCGTCACTTTTGAAGGGCCCTTTCCCCCAATAGCGGCGCCCTGTGCTCAAACCATTGGATTTCAGTGGACCATGTTAGGGTACCACTACATGGGTGCTACCATGGGTGCACTCATGCTTCGCACAGACAAACACAGACGATAATCGTCTGTGCAATACAGACAATTATCGTCTGTATTTGTCTGTGCAAAGCATGTGTGCACCCATGGTAGCACCCATGTGGTGGCACCCTAGCATTTTCCTTCTTTAGTTCTCTTCCATTTCCAAAAACAAAGATGCATTGCTACTATTCACTACATTTCGTTCTCTTTCTATTGTTTCTTTCTGTACTGAATTTATCTAAATAACACTAAAACATAGTGACTGTATCAATGTAGTATCATATGTTTTTATTTTCCAATATGATATCACTATTCAATGTTCACTGGTCATTGTTCAAGTAAATGCCCACCGCCAGTAGACATTGTTCAAACTAAATGTGCACCATTAATATAGACTAATGCATGTCCAACTCCCGTTGCCATCCTGGTGCACGCCTCGGCCTATAACTTTGGCGCATGCTTGGCTCCTCTTGTGTCGGTAGATCTATAAGTAAATCCTGATATACGATATATTTTGCTAAATTTAATATATACTAATAAAATTTGAAAATATTAGAGGAAAACAAATCTTTAAGCAAATGTGAAATTCACACAAAATAATACTAAAACATATGACAGTTCTCAATGTAGAATTTAAACTTTTTAATTTCTTAAATAGTACTTCAATAATGTCTACTTGCGGGAATAATGTCCAGTAATAATGGACATTTAGTTTGAATAATATCCAGTGGCACTGGACATTTACCTGAACAACAACTAGTGAAATTGAATAGTGGTACTATATTGAAAAATAAAAACATATGTTATTACATTAAAAAAATCACTATATTTTAGTACTATTCAGGTAAATTCCTCCAAGTAAATATCCATAAAATAACTGGTCTTTCAACAAATTTCTTTCATTTAGGTTTATCTAAATTTTTCCCTTAATATTGCTCATTTGCAAGCCGCCATGTGACGGAGCCGTTTCTTCTCCTTCTCCAGTAATGCAGGTCAAGCTGGCACAGAAGACGATCCCACGAACGGCGAAAAGAACTGCCGTTAAGTACAAGAACGCCGGGTGAGCGATCTCACAGACGCCGTCCATCTTCTTCTTCTTCTTCTTATATATCATGCCCAAACCTAGTAAGATTCCTATTACAAGTGACGACCCACTTGCTCATTCCAATGTTCACCAAATTAGTACTTATTGTTGTTTAAAAAAAAAAATAGTACTTATTGTATGATCTTTAAAAAAAATCCAAGATACAATTTGATACGAATTAATCTTATATAAAGAAAAGAAAAAGACTAAAGTAGAAATAAAACATTGAAACTAAACTAATTAAGAGTTTCATGTTTTTATTCACAAAATAAAAGTTAAAATACATTTACAGTACCAATCATGACCATATACGTACGTCACCAAAATATATAGTGAAATGAACATATATATAAAATGTCACATTACCACAGTACAAATTCCTATTTTGAGGATAAAAATATAAAACTTTTATTTTACTACTTTCTCTATGTTTTACTTTATTTAGGATGATTTTTCTTTATACATAGTGAAGGTTTCGTTCTTATTTATAGGAAATATATAGAGTCCTAATTCGAAAAATATACTTTCTCCGTTTCTTAAAACATTTCCTCTTTTATTTTTTTTCTCTATTTCCAAAATCCTTCCAGTTTTTATTAAAAACTCACTTCTACCTCTACTTTTTCTTACTCTATCTATTACATTATATTTTTCACTAATAATTTACTTATCACATCCTACTTTAAAGTGGTGTTTATTTTCCAAAATTTCCTATCATTTAGTTTTGGGACTGTGCATATATAGATGTGAAAAGTTTCCCCGCCTTCAAATTTTATTCATACAAATACTATAATTGTCTTAGTTTAAATGAGCTTCTGATGTTTCAATAAATAAATTCACAGTAATTATTACGAAGTATTATTCAATTAGCCTTTAAGAATGTTGAAGCATGATTATACATTTTTTTTTCATTGGTCAAGAAAAGCAAGAAATTGGAATGGAGTGTTTTTGTGGTAGTTACTCTCCTCAATGGAGATAAATGTGAATCAACTAAGGGTAAAAATCAACTTTTTTGACCCTTGCCGTAAAAGAAGGATTAAATACCGAGCATGTTATTTCAACACTTGAAAATGCATAGATGCATGAACTACGTAATAATTTGCCTCCAAACCAAACCAACCATTGGATATGTGTATTTCAAATTAATAAAGTGGCAATTAGAGAGGTCAATAGAGTTACAAAAAAAAAACACAAGCACAAGTAATCTTGAGAATAAATTAAAGCACTTCAGATCAAATTCATCAAAGCATGAAACAATCCAATTGCAGAGTTGAATATACACACATAAATGACAACTCTCAATTTCCTTGTAGTCAAACTGGTTTTTTTTTTGAATCTTTTATATATGGAGGCATTTGTTACTCACTGTCTGTAAGTAGGCTGGGGTAAGAGTTAGGGTGACTTGAGCATTTCCCTTTATATATTACCACCACCAGTCCACCACCCCTCTGTGCTTTACAGTGTACCTTCAAAAGCTAGCCTATGTCCCTGCTAGTGGAATACTACTGTCCCTTAGGGAGGGCTTAATTAATAAAAACGGGGTGGCGTTGAGACCCTGAGCTCAAAAGGTTACCCTTAGCCACAGAAGAGGAAGGCATGGTTGGTCCACAAAGCATCTGCAGAATTGCCCCAAACAAAATGTTATTGCAAGTTAAAACACCTTGAAAAACTTCCTTGCTTGCATAAAGATGAGCACTTGGGTCAATTTGGATGGAGGGTTTTGGGTAGTTTTGGGTGAGGGGAAGGTTTCAGTGGGCTTGGCCCATATCAAATATGTATATCAAGGTATGAAGTATATTCGGTATAAACTTAGCCTTCCAAAACCCTCTCATTCAAAACCTTCCAAAACCATCCGTCCAAGCTGGCAGCCCGACACAAAGATATATCGGTGAATATGAGGGCACTGTTGCACAAAAAAACACTCGCGAGGTGTCATATTAAAACGTAATGTCTAGTTGGGGATTAATCGGGGTTAGAGGGAACTAAGAGAGTGTTTGGTTCGTGGGGGGAGGGGGGATCATCTCTCCACCGCTAATTTGGTTGAAATACTCAAATACAAATACTAATAAGGGGAGAGGTCCAAGATTTCTCTCTTCCTTCCATCCATATATATATATATATATATATATATATATATATATAATAAACACACACGCATATTATGTTTTTTTAATATAAAGACACGCAATGTATTTACCCTCAGCAATAGAAGAGTGGAAATACCTATAATCTCCAAGATGAAGCTTACTCTCTGCTAGATTTTGCCCAGAAAGGGATTCTCTTACGAGTGGAAACACTCTCGGTCAAGGCTCTGGTGTCGTCCTTTGATCCAAACGAAAAATGGCGCCTTAGGAAGGCCGCCTTCCCTGATGAATAATTTCTCAAACTAGAACTGGAGCTCAACTTGGTGTACCTGCCCGCGCGTCCACTACTTTTCTGATGGTCTGATACAGAAAGGTTTCCGCTAAAATGACTGTCAACAACTTTATTCTTGCCTTTCCTTCTACCTTTTAAATCCATCTCAGCTTTCAGTGATTTCTCAAACATCTTGGACGCATGCTTCTCCCCAAAAGTACACACAGGGCAAGCCGGATCGTACTTGTTGGTTTCAGATGTCATATTCTCCAGGCAATCGGCATGGAAAACATGCCCACAAGTCAGAACAGAAACAACAGCCAGTTCGTTACAGGCTATAAAAAATTTCTGAGTACCCCATGAAGATGTTTCAGTTAGCAAATTTGCACATATGCCGCAGGTTCGCAAATCGAGTGAGTGAGAATGAGAACTTCTTCTGCAGGATCTCGATGCTTTGGAACTGTTTGGAGCTCGAACAATACTGTGGGGGAGGGGGTTAGGAAAGAAAATTAGAAGTAATGATAATAAGTGAAGAAAAGAAATTAAAAGATAGGCTTAAAACTCTAGAGATTTGCCAACACATTTTTATTACTCCATTCCTACCAAATTCATCATCCCATGTAAAAATGGCACGGACTTAAACAAAAGTAAAACTGCATAGTTGAACTTTATGCAGAGAGAAATGATATGAAGCACGCAATTCTTTCCTTAAAAAGAATGAGAAGATCATTTTGGAAGGTTCAAAAAAGGAACGTGGGAAGAGATCATTTTGGGATGAAGGGTGTATTATATATGTCTATTATATAAAGACTGAGAAACCCATTAATATGTAAAATCTACTTCAAAAAAATAACAACAGAGCATCCTCGCATTTTCTAAAAAGCAGAACCATACATAAGAACATAATTTCTCATAACATTGTTTTCCCTTTCCATAGCAGTTTCAGTAATCCAAACATACCCTTTATCACGATTGAAGCCAAAGTTTTCACTATCAAATGACAATCTCCCTCTTGCCAGGAATTCAGGAAAGGATGGAATAGACCATGCATCTGATGATCCGCCAAATGATCCTCGTGTAGATTCATTGCTCAAACCAGGAGAGTGATGAGGCATCCTTGATGGAGTAAAATTAGCAAGAGGCACTTGACTGTGCGATGACAACGGTGACATAGAAAGAGAAGAGACCGACTGTGCTGATTGGGACAGTTTTCTGGGAGATGGAAATGATACTGCAGGAGTTTCTAGTGTCTCTCTTACCTAAAGAAATGCCAGAGAAGAAAAATGTATGCTCAGAAACATATACAGATCAACTACAGACTTTCAAACACATCCCGAGTGCATATAAAAATATTGTAATGTTTTTTGTCTTCTTATTACCTCTGTAGAATTCCTACCCACCAATATATCTGCAAAAATTAAGATATGGAGTCAAATGATGGAGAAAGCATAAAGGGAACAATACAGTCTATTATGGATAAGGGGTTATCATACCGTCAGACTAAATTTGAATGTTTATGCATTAAATGAAGCTTGAGGTCATATTCTTAGCAGTGAATAAAAGGCCACTAACTTCTAAAGATCTTTAGTCTATGTGGAAAGAGCAATTAATTATGTTTGGGGGTCATATTCTAATACTCTTTAGGCGTGTGGAATGAATACAATCCCCAAACCTTCCATTGTTACGTATTTAACATGATGGACACATACAGAGTAGTGAGATGAAAATTACTTCTTGGAAAAGCTGAGAGATGAAAACATGAAGTTGCAATTGAGACTCCACAGTCAGTATCTACATTTTATCTTTTTTGAAGCTATAAAGGTCTCATGAAATATTATACTCCAAATTACATGTCCTCTATGGATAAACTGAGAGAAAACTGCAGGGAGTTCTACCTGATGAAGGTTGAACCGAACGTCCCATATTTATTTCAGAAGTGGGTGACTTTTGCCATGCAAACGACCTGAAACTATCCAAAGGGCTTCCATCTACAGATGGACATCCTGTTTCCGCAGTTGTCCCTGACTTAAATTCCAGTCTGTCATTGACACTAGCTCCATCAGAAGACCAATTCATAGATGTCTCTTCCCCAGCTACTCGTCTCCTATTATCCCATCGGAAACTCCATGATGGAGAATACCTGAGATTTCGATGCAAATTTTCACTGGTTGCTCCATTTGATATGGTTCTATCTCTTGCAGCTACACAACATGCAGAACCCATGCTTCTTCACATGCATACAGCAAATACTACTGGAATATTCTGTCAAACAAAGACATTTACACTCTGCTCATTCCATAACAATACCCTGATATCACAAACGAAAAATGATTGAATTAATAAATTATTACACCGCGCATGAGATGTAGATATTTAAGACTTCCAGTAGATTGTTCACATAATTAAAATAGAGAGACGCAGACTGATAATTCACACCGCACAAAAAAGGGAAGAAATAAAAAAAATAATTCACACAAACAATGGTTACACTGCAAGAACACACCAAATTATAACTCCGAATAGAAAAAATGGTTGAGGAATGAATGAAAGAAATGAAATGATCACCACGATTCTGTCCTTTTGGAACAGACATAATCGCCAATGAAGCAGACATAATTTTGGCTCAAAAGTATATACCAGTATATAAATGACTAAATAGCATTAAAAAAAATAGAGAGAGCAAACCATTAGGAACGGAGAACACCCTAGCCCTATAATATAGGATGAAATCTCATTTCTCCATGAAAGGTACTTTCCTTTTTGTTTAACAAAGATCAAATTAAAGAGTACTGAACTTATTCATCAAACACCATACTCATTCAAAATGAAATCAAGAGTCTAAAACGGGGACAATTTTAAAAAAATTAGTGTTCAATAAAACCCTACTCGTGCAATATGATACTCCGAGTTTCAGATTACACTCTCCCTGACCATCAAAATATGTAATCTATCAAAAATTTAATCACCCATCAATCAAAGATACCACACTCAAATGCAAAGATGGCCTGATAAAAGCTCCAAGACAACAAGATTGAAGCTTTAAAATGATTACTTCAGAACTGGACGAAAAAACCTCGACCCAAAACACACAAAATCTGGGGCACAACACACAAAATCCCTCGCGAGTGAATAAAAATAAACACTAAAAACATCGGAACATGTCAAAAAGATCCGAAATTCATGCCGAGAAAACGGCGAGTGGAGCCACAGAAATTCCCTGTCACCGGATAATTTCGATTTTTCATCTCAAATTTAACTCACTCACACATATACATATTCATCACACACACATCGAAGCTACCTGCTAGCCCGAACTCACCGCTAGTTCGGAGCGCATCCGGCAGGAGGCGGCGGCGAGCGGTGGTTGGTGGTGGAGCTGTAGAGAGAAAGTAGAGTGAGAAAAGATTGTGAATTTGTGATTCTTCTCCTTGAGATTAGAGAGAGAGAAAGAGAGTTTTAGACGGCATCTGAAAACGCCGTTAGTGTCCGATGGTTAGTTAACGGTGAAAGCGTGCCATGTCGTTATCTCCGTTGGTCAATAAATAACGGTGTTGAAAATTTGAGAACTTTATTTTATTATCAAAAAAAGGAAACTTTAGTTGAAATATTTTTATCTTACCTCAAATTGTTATTTCGAGAGAAAATTATTGTGTGAATCTCATAGACCCACACGCATGGAAAATTTGGTGTAAATAACCAAATTCTTATGAATAAAAGTCAATAAAACTAAACTTAGTAAATTGGATTTATTTTTTAATAAGAAAAATTTTGAAATTTGTATTCAAATCTCACTGATAGGAGAAGGCCACCTTAATTATATATTTTATCATTTAGTATGAGTGCGTGGCTTACAAGATTTCTCTTTCATGTGAACAAATTATAATGATATACCAGAATATTTTGTCCTTAAATAAATTCCTCATTTTTTTATATGTTCTAAAATAAAATTCATATTTTGTTTAGTAATTCACATCATTTCTCTTCTACATAAATCTCAACCACAAATTTCATTTTTTTTAATTTTACGAAAATCAAACCGGTAAGTCTAATCTGGGTTGACATTGGGAGCACTCTTTATGTAGTTTTCAATATTTTTCTTAAACTCTTTATTTCAAATGTGTAAAACTTTTGGGACGGGAAAATGAATAATATTCGTACTAAATATGGGGTATAATTTTTCCTAATAAAAATATTCCATCTTAATCTCATCCAAACAAAATATTCCATCTTAATCCCCCCATTATGTTTGGAGCATGCAAATAAAAAATATCCAACTTGCAACATAAGAACTCAAACCTTCATACACAAATTTTTATTTATACCTATAAAAAAACTTAACTCATTTCTAATTACTCCTATCTCAAAATAATCTCTATTTTCCTTTAAAAAAAGAATACGGAGTCTGTAATATGGAGTAGTATATGGCAACATCACTTTCTTTTTCATCCGTCTCAAAACATTTTTTTTTCAATTACATGACTGGAAGAGTTTCTCACTTTCCATCACCACTACTTTTAAAAATCCTGACAGAAAATTATTTTGAGACAGAGAGAGAAATTATTACTGTACACTTAGTTCCACTTGGATGTATTAGTTTTCATTTTGATTCATGTGTTTGCTTTCTTAGGTAGTACGCAAAGTTATGAAGCATCTCATCCTTTTCATGTCACAAAAGTATAGTGAGAATTAGTGCCTCTTAATTTTGGGATTGATTCATTAATTTTGTTCTAATCATAATTTCTTACTGCACCCCAAAATTAAAAATACAATTAGATTTATGGCAATCAACATCTTTATTTTAAAATATGTATGGAAGTTAAAAAACGAAGTAAAATTCATAAGTAAATAAGCCATTTACCAAACAGAATAGTTTTAAGAAAAATGAAATTTTGTGACTCTCGTTTTAGATACTACGAACCGCGCACTCTTTTTAAGGAAACACAAACCAACTTGCCATGTTTTGTGAAGGACAAACAAACAAGCACCCTATTTTGAGACAAAAAAATGGATATGAGCTCTAAAAAACAAATTGCAAAACATTGGCATATTCTCTAATCACAGACAAAAATGCCTCTGTTACATCCTTAAATCAAATTAAGTTACAAATGTGAAACTAATCTCGCAGTAACTAAAATGAATTGACAGGATTCTTTCAAAATCAAATAAAAAAGAGGCTATTTTACCTCACTGCTTAAGCCCCCTCCCTCTCCAGCATTATTGCCACTGTTTCTTGTCCTCTTCCTTTTTCTTCTCTTTCTAGCAGTTCCATCATTTTTCTTGATTTCTTGCACTTGCTGAAGAGAACATCGATACCATATGATTATATCAAATTCAGGCGTAAACCACTTGATGAGGAGAACATAGATACCATATATAGACAACTTGCTAAAGTTATTTTGCGGGATAAACAAACAAACAGAACTGATAAGAGTTGTGCTCATTTTCACCATGAATATATAAATAAACACTATTGGGTAATGCATACCGATGCTTCAAAAGAACCCAGTCCTAATTAGAATTTAGGAGTATAGTACTCATGTTTCATACATGATGTTTGCCGTTTAGGTTTAGGTTGGTTCACTTTTATTTTTGAAAATGCAAAACTGAAAACTTAACCGAAGATATTATGTTGGTCATATTCGGTCATTTTTTTGTTTTTGTTGATTTTTAGTCAGTAAGGTCAGTTGAAAGCCTAATTCTTGAACTGCAAGCTGGACTGCCTATGAAGAACCCAATATTCGTCAGTTAGGCTTCAGTTACTTTGTTGTCCGGTTCTGGTTTGGCTTTTTCTCCCCCTTAGGCTTAGGGACTAGGAGAGGAATTTAGAACAGAGGTCATAAATATCAGGCAAGTAAGAATCTCTACATGTGAGTTGCAAGTGAGTGAGAAGGCAACAATTAAGAGCTTAGGTTTTGCCATAATGGAGGTTTATATCCATAGATATCTCATGCAATTAACTGACCCCTCAAGTGTACTATTTAGATTTCAATATATGAATTTTATTACGGAGTAATCCAATTGGTGTTCAAAGGTTCTTTACTAAAGGATACATTTTGAATGATGATTCTAGAATTCAGATTCAGAAAAATCATACCTTTTCTGATGCAGTTGCATTTAAGGGCTTAGGCTTCTTCTTCTTGACAGAAAGTGGATTCGGGTTCTGAAAAACAAAATACACAGCAATAAACACAGTTATTAAAGGAGAAAGTGAAGATTTTGCTTCACAATCAAGCAATTTACGGAGCATCGTAGCTTTAAAAAATGGTTTACCAAAAAACTATTACCAACGAATAAACTCAAATCTAGATGTACAATAGCTGTCGCAAAAGTCTAAAACATTAGCAGTTGGGGATTAATTAATCTCATCAAATCAACAGGCTAAATCATCTGCAATCACTCAGTCTTTTTCTCAAACAAATTGTCTTAATTAAACATCGGTGTGTCAGTATCACATTCAGGCAAAAAAATGAAGTAATACAATATATAAAATATTGATACAAAGTTTAAACAGTATCTAAATTTATTATGATGTGTTAAAACTCAAGGTTTTTATAAAGTTCTACAATTGACCGGACATGTTTACTAATAAATATGAAAGCGAGTGGTTGAGTGTGTAGAGGAGAAAGAAATTGTGTAAGAACCACAATTCCCTTCTCATACAGATAGAGGAACCATTTTTGGGACAAAGAAAAAAGAAAATGTGAAACCTTTTTTATGAGACGGAGGGAATATAAGATTAATGAATATAAATTTGTGTCCCATAAAAGAGTGCTATTTCGCAACTTGTTTTAAAAAAAGGTAGAATTAGTTCTTTCTAAGCGTTGTACTTTACTACAATTAAAAAGTCTACACTCATCAAAGTGGGGTTTTTTATGGAACGGAAATTTGATTTTTCTTCGTGTTTTCTACAAAGAAAACCAAAATAGAAAGAAATATTTTCTCTAGCAGCCATTTTTTGCACTCTAACCATAGCAGCATAGCCTAGTGTATTTTCCCCTATGAAGTATGACCCTCTACGTAGTCAATTGTTTAGAGCTTTTAAAGCATGAAAACCCTTTCAACCAAAAACAGTGAAATAAATCAACATAAATCTTCCCTCACAAAAATCAACATGAATTTTTTTTTGTATATAAAAAGACAATGTTATTCATGACGATGCAACCCAAAAGTCCTACCTTGATTCTTTTTCTCTTAAATTGAGGTTTGTCCTTGATGTTGTTTTGTTTTCTCTCAACAGGCATCTTGAAATTCTTGATCTCCGAGAAACCAGTGCCCCCTTCTTCCCCATTTAAGGCAACATTAGCTTCTTCATCAGCCAATTTCCTCTTTTTCTGAATGTTAAGCATTTTATACTCTTTGTCAGTCATATGTGATCGCTGTTCTTCGGCAACCTTGGCAAACTTCCGTTGAAAAGTGGAAGGACACTCAAGAAACAAAGCATTCCTAAGTGCATATATTACAGGAACGCCAGGTATCTGCCACCACATGATTGAAAGGTTAAAACAAAGAAAGCTATTTCAAAACTTTTGCAATGGAACTATTCAAAAAACACATAATTTTACTATTCCATAACTGTGAGTATGAAAGCAAATCTTTAACGAATCGTGCTGAATGAAGAATTTTGGACATCTAGGTCTATATCTTAAATTTCTTGATATATATGTTAAAATTCCGGAACAACAGGTGGAGTATCGGGTAAAAGTAACCACTTGTATATAAAGTTGGGATCCACTATTCTAACCCAAAAGCGTAAGCTAATAGGTAGGGCTTCACCCTTCTATATATGCTAGTGGTATTCTTCTTTATTTTTCGATGTGGGAACTCCAACATTATATTTGAGATTTTCTTCAAAACGAATGAATAACATACTCCCTCCGTCCCCAATTTGATTAAAAATTGCGGGTTACGGAGTAAAATTTCCTACTTTTTGAAATCATTTTATTTACAAATTGGTATATCAATAAGATATAAAAATTGCATATTAAAAAACTACGTCAAAAGTTCTACAAAACAAGAGGTAACAAGAATATTTTATTTTATCAAATACTTAATGAAATCGCGTAAACAAACAAAAGTTATCGAGAGGAGAGAGAAAAAAATTGTAATCTATTTAGGGACGGAGGGAGTAATAAGTAATCATAAATCATTTCAATCGTTCTAACAAATATATTCTATTTTTCAACATATACTCTAATTGTTCCATAGCTTTCCTCCTAGGACCCCCCCCCCATCCAAACAGACCCCAACGAAGAGCAGTTTGACACCAACATGCCAACATAAATAAAAAGTTAAAGCACCTTCGTAAGATTTTTCCTTAGATCAGCATCTTGAGTAGAGACAAAAAAGTGCTCGGGATTGTCTTCTCCAATGACCTCAGTTATGCAAGCTACAGCACTTTTCTTATTCACGTGATCACATCTGTAACAAAACACGATGATGTTAAGAATACAAAGAATGGCAAGGCAAGGGGGAAAATATTAATGGA